GGCGAAACACTTCAGATGTTTTATGAGCGCAGTAGCTTCATGATATATATTGTAGCGCGGAAACACTCTCGGCTGCTGTATATTTGTTTCCTTTGACTTTGTGCATGCACAACCACATTGAGGTTAATTCATGTGAAGTTTCTCTGCATGCTGCTGCTAGCGTGAAACAAAGATACCCCGACATCTATCTGAACAGCAGCAGCTGCAGCTCACGCGAAACCCACAATACTGCGTGATGAAATATTTTGAATTTCTTTGGAGTCTTTCTCGCTATAAAAACTAGGAGAGGAGGACTGCTGAGGTCTGATTGGTGCAGCACTAAGAAACTCCCTGTCTCAGCTACAGAGTTGAAGCGGTGTGTTCATCGGCTGCAAACTGGCGAATGTATGCTGATATGTAGAAACTCATCGCCGGAGCAGAGCAGACAAGAGCAACAGCCAGCCACCGACGTGCATAGACACCGCCGAGAGAAGAAAGCTGCTGCTAGCTTGCAGCTTGCAGCTTGTTCACGAACAGCAATAGACGCAAAACCCCAGGAATCGAACCGTGCAAGAGGAGGGCACCGCCCAAGAGAGAGATGTGACCCTATCATCGTGCACAGAAAGGAATACACACCATGGGGAGCCAACACCACCGGTCGGCTGCTTCTTGCCGTCCCTATCTGCTGCTGCTGCTGTTACTGAAACATACGGATACTGTTGCTTCTGCAGATGTTGCACTTCCCGCAACGTCTGTGACTTCAGTTCTTTCTGTTTGGGGCTCGTGTATGCGTCTCACGGTTCTGTACATCTAGCTTTCTTGTTCCTTACAATAAGTGCTTGGAAACGCTATAGGGGACCTCAGTGGAGGCAGCTTACGCCGCTGCTGCACAGGCCATCTGCGCCTGGATCACTGCCACAACAAGTTGCAGTGCTTCCTCAGCGTCTGCTGGGGCAATAGCAACAACTATAGCGGCATCACCAGTACCAGCTGTGACGAAAGCAGCGACGGCAGTAGTTGCAGAGACACCGCAGATGCAGAAAACACCAAACAGTAACACAGAAGGCCTGTTGAGAGGACTTCTTG